CGACCAAATTCCGATTAATTTAATTATAGCTATTAACTTGTCAATATCTGTAGTTTATTAACACTGATAGAATCAAAAAATTCTTTGTTATACATAGATATATAATAGATTATAAAGATTAGATAATTAATATTTGTACAGTTAGGAATTTTATCTTGTACCATTCTGGTTGAATTAATCGTCGATTGAGTTAGTCGGAGTTTGATTGAGATCGTAAAAATACACATCGTTTTTTGAGCTTTTCGAAAATCAAATCGATTAACGTAAATGTCTCAGTTTTTACACAACTCAATCTTTTATATTTTCCTTACTTTTTGTTTTATAGATTTGATCAGTTTATCTTCTGAATGACTCATTGATTGACTCCATTTTTTGTAAATTTATCAATATGTGTACCAACTAGTTCACAATATTTTTAATTCTATTTGCTTATTATTTTAAAGAATTGATTGGTTTGTCTTCTGAAAAACTCATTTATCATCAAATTTAGGAACACATTCAATGCATTTTTTTCATATATTATATATGTCTTGTAAATATAATAATGTTCTTTCAAATATTACGTAGAGTTGAAATCAGTCATCTACTATCATTACAGTAAAATGGATAACTGCAATGTTGATGTAATTTTACAGTAATTCGGTTTCTACGTGGCGATGACGGCCACTAGGAAATGTTTCCATGCATCACACTCTGTGCTCCGGAGGTGCACCTGCAGGGAGGTGGTTTAGCGACCAAGAGATTCTACAAATTGACGGCCACTCTGACTGACATCTGGAACAAACTTGTTGGACATCCAAAAGAATGTTTACTGTATCTCGTGTGAAATTTCACTATTGGTAGACGATAGCTGATTAATATCATCATGTTCGGGAAAATAATCTCTGGGAAAGATGGGACGGTTGAGATCTTAAAAACTCTCAGAAGATAAAATTATAAGATGACGAACCGCTCGTGACATCCGTGTCGCGTGAGTTCCGTTGGTGGTCTGGATAATCGCAAAGTTACAATTTACTATTGTAATCGATGACACAATACGCTTATATAGCCTATCATATTTGTCATGTAGGATTTAGTTAGAATATTTATGTGATGTATGTAATTGTTTACGGAGATATAAGATACAATTGGTATCGACAGGTTTTATATAATGATGCGACTGAACTTCAAGACAACTTTGCTTGTTTTGGTTGTCGCAACAGTGAGCTTTCTACTTGCGTCATGGAATAATTGTGGAAACCTGTTGTTCCATACAGATTGGAAGACAAAGTATCATAAGGTATGGCGTTAGGAGCAAATTTTAACGTATTAATCTGTATCAGCTCGAAATAGTACATATATATATATATATATATATTTATATATTTATATGTTTTATATGTTTCAATGTAGGATCGTATAAATACAGAATCGGGATACCAAGAGATAGATTGTCATATAAACGGTGATTACTCCATAGGATGTCGAAAAGAAGGTGACGAAGTGTATATACCATTTTCATTTATCCATAAATATTTTGAGGTCAGTTGAGAGTTTATGTGAATTGATTAACATTAAATTAAATTATATTATGAATCAATAAATTATTATAAATGTTACGATAACTTGTACACACACAATGTTTTAGATTTATGGAAAACTAGCTACTTACGATGGTCTGGAGAGATTTGAATGGCTACATAGTTACTCAAAGATTGTAAACCCCAAGGGAAAGTATGATCCCCGAGGTGTATTTATGACCTTTGAAAATTACAATGTCGAAGTCAGGGATAGAGTTAAGTGTATCAGCGGCACCGATGGTGTACCAATATCAACGCAATGGGAGAGCCAGGGGTATTATTATCCCACACAAATTGCTCAATTTGGATTATCGCATTACAGTAAAAATCTAACCGAGCCCGAGCCTCACAGAAAGATTATTGAGGATTCCGATAAAGTTAAGCAGAATTGGAACGTTCCTCAAGGATCGGTTATGAACAGAGTCTACGATAAGCAAGTTAATAGTTACGTCCTGAAATTTGCCACTCCGGAAACGAGCACTTCCGGGATTTCTTTAAAACTGGATCACGTATTGGACTTTGTATTGAAATGGGATCTTAATATTAGAGACAATGGAAGTGTTACTGTTACATTACAGTCACGGGAGAAAAAAGAGATGTACTACCTTCACTATGTTACTAATAACATAGTTTTGTATAATTATAATAATCATGTGCACTACGGAATCGGACAAGTTAATCATCAGTGGAAACGTCTTACTAGAGACCTTGTAGTTGATCTACAAAAAGGTCTTTATTTGAGTGATAAAAGTAGGAAGAAAATACCTCGGTCAAAGTTAAAGGTAAGCATTATTCGAACGATAATTTTTATCCTATTTATTCTTTGCATTTGATAATTTTTATATTGATATCCTGAAAAATTTTTAATGTAACCACCACACACATTTTAGGTAGTTAAAATTACTTTATACGGCTCCGGTATGATTGACAATATGACATTATCGACTAGCGAGCATATGGAGCAATTTTATGATGCGGCAAGGTGGTTCGTCGCTAATCAGAATATCACATCTGGTGGTTGGCCAAATCCTGTTAGGAGAAAAGTAGCGTCTGGAATGGCTATTCTCGAGCCTGGATGGTATCGCTCATATTTATATATTTTATATATACATACATATAACTGTGGAATTAATCTTTCTGTAATTTTTTGTCTTTCCACTATCGTGTTTTACATACATAGTTCTCAAAAACGAGATAAAGTCAATGCGAAACTCTGATGTTTGAAGGATAGTGTTTTGAGGCGTCATAACAAAATTTGCATAAAACTTGAAAAATTATTACTGTTTAAAATTCTATATGAATATCCGATTATCGTATATTCATAGAAGGATTAAGAGTAGAACCGGTTTTACAAAAGAAAAATATATGGTTACAGGTATTCCAGTATGGGACAGGGTCACGCGATATCTGTGTTAGCACGAGCATATTATCATTCTGGAGAGGCGAAATACTTACAGGCCGCTATCAGAGGCCTACGACCTTTCAGACTGACATCCGCTAAAGGAGGGGTAGCTGCGCTATTTCTAAGTAAATATGTCTGGTACGAGGAGTATCCTACTACCCCTTCGTCTTTCATACTCAATGGTTTTATTTATTCGCTTATCGGTCTCTACGATTTGAAGAGCATAGCGATAGGTAAGGACGCGGAGGAAGCAACCAGACTTTTTAATCAGGGTATGATATCGTTAAAAAACATGTTAACGTTATACGATACCGGTTCAGGTACGACGTACGATTTGCGTCATTTTACATTAAAGACAGCACCGAACTTAGCTAGATGGGATTACCATTCTACGCACATTAATCAACTTCTTCTTCTCAATTCTATCGACAACGATCCTATTTTTATTACAACCGCGGAGAGATGGATCGGTTACATGAATGGTAAAAGAGCGGCGCATAATTAATTTACTTTAGATAATATTCCATCTCTTTTGTATTTTTATACTTATTTATTTAAATTATTTTTTATCTTATCAAATTATTTTAACGCGCGAATTATTTTCATTGTCTTATTTTTTATATATACTACAGATTAATTTCATAAAAATATGATGTATATCTTAATCTTTTCTTTCAGTAGATTAAATTTTTTTTTTCTCTTGTAAAATATAATTTTTATTTAAAACTAATATGCGAATAGGGCTACGAGCCTTAGATTCATTAAAATCTTTAATTCTATTAATTCTATTAATTCTAATATAATTCTAATATAATTTTTATTTTATGTCAACTATAGAGTCATAGTAACGCGAGAATGAATAGAATAAGCGAAAAAATGCGAGCGTGTATGAAAAATCTGTTAATATTATATCTGTTAATACTACAGAAACATGGCATAATTATAAGAATAGGAGATGTGTCCTTAATATACAGGATGATTTTTAATTATATGTCGACATACATATTTTTTATATATCTATATTATAATTATTTTTATGTATAATATAATTCATATAAATGTAATATGATAATTACAATTCATTTTATTTATTTGATATAATATATAATATTTATTATATATTATATAATATAATATTATATAATTGTCATGTGTGTTACATAATATATATTCACACACACACACACGCACACACACACACACACACACACACACACACACAATTATATGATTTACAATTCATATGTAAATTCTTATAAATATAATTGTAAATTAAATATGATGTATAGTTATATTTATAATTTATTTTTTATTTGTCTAAATTTTTATTTATATATTTATCTAAATCTATAAACAGAATCGCCACTGTCTGTATATATCTATATAGGATTGTTTAATATTTTTTCTTTTCATCTAATATAAAATCTAGAAAAATATCTTAATTTAAAAAATATATACTTACAATAAATGATAGATTAATAGCAAATGTTGATACATATGTATAATTAAAAATCATCCTGCATATATATTTGTAAATAAGATATTTCTAAAGAACCCCCCTGAACACTCGGACATTAAAGCGGATAATGTCTGTTTTAAAATTAGTAAATTTCGCATAACGGTGCTGCCAATAATTAATATGATAATTAATATGTAGCGTGATATTCTTTCTTAAGTCATATTGTATAATTATAAATAATACGTAAGAGAAGATTGTAATCATTTATTTTTTAATAGCGGCAAATAATTTTTCGTAAATTTCTCAACTAGTTTTATAACTATGGACTTGCACTCCTTACGAGATATAAATAATGTTAAATTATTCAATAAAAATTATTGTTTAATCAGATAATGTAATTCAGACCTTTGTAAGTAATATATTACAACATTGCATTTAGTTATCACTTTCTCTTTGTTACATAATGTATGTAAAATTTACATACTAAAAGTATGTACGCTTATGTTACATAGAATTTATAAGAATGTAGCAGAACGTAACGTTTTTGGAATGAAACTGAAATAGGAAAAAAATCATCATATAGGGATCTTAATACTGCAGCATAAATCGTTATGCTTCCATTTTTATTAAGGACTGAAACTAGATTTGCGACCAGCCGCAGCTTACAAAACATATAGAACACTTTGTGTGAGATCTACTTTGTGGAGGACACGAATTGGAAGACATACATATTATCTGCGTAGCGCGCGCGTTACGAAAACTATACATATATTACTCTGTTATACGACCTGCGTAAGAAATAGGCGGTTAACTTGTTTCTATTCCCCGGTTCAATTCTTCGTAAAAGTACGGCCGAATGTAGAATTGGAATAGAAATTACGCGAGATTAAAACGTTGAGTATTTTAAACGTGGGATCGTGGTATCGTTTTGCGTGACTAGTAGTAGCGGTAACGGTAGGCGCGGCCGTAATTGTACACCGATTTACTCTCGATCGGGTTACAGGTGTACAGGGCGTCGCCTCTGGTGCCTTGTGGGCACGTACAGACCGCGATATGACGTCGGGGCGTGCACTCAGCGCTCGGACCGCATTCGTGGCCGGTGCACGGGTTCCTGCACGTGAAATCGATACACGCCCGATTGTCGGGGCATTCACTGTCGGTGAAGCACTCCCCGCGCTGGCAGCTCGTCAAGGCGTTGCCAATGTAGCCGGTGGGACACGTGCATACCGGCCTCTCCTTCCCGGTATTGTCGTGACCCGGCGTGCAAATCGCGTTAATACCGCAGGGATTTGGCTCGCAGAGATCACCTGAAAATGGAGATATATTGATTTTGAAATAATTATTTCCTCTTCTTCTCTTCATAATCGTCTTGGATTCAGTGAAACTGATGATAGAGAAGAATACAATTTTAATTAATTATAATAATAATGGTTATGCCTATATCAGATTAGAATGAGATTGAATTTGGTCAATCAAAAAGTTCACTAAACTTGATATTGTTTTGTATTTGGTTTTCTTTCTTCTAATTGATTAAATTCAATCTCTAATTTGATATAGATATTACATTGCTTTTACTGAAATTTAATACTAGAAAGTAATGATTTTATTTTAAGTGTTGCACAGTACTTTTAATATTCAAAATAAATAATAAATCATTATTTTTCAGTATGAAGTAGGAATTTTGTAAGGATGATTACTTACGTGGTTCGAATAGTCTACAGCTGACGAAAGGATTACCGGTCATATGTTTCGGACAACTGCAAACGGGAGTAATAGCGCGTAGGTTGCAATCAGCGTTCACCCCGCACACGCCGTCACAAGGATTCACGCATTTCTGATAGAGGCAAGCGGGCTTATTCGATGGGCATTCAGAGTGGGTGGTGCACTCCGGTCGACATGCGATAAATGGGTTTCCCGTCCATGTCTGGAACAAGAAGCGGATTGATCCCACACGTCCGTTCCGTTTCATTTGGTTTCATTCGTCATCGAGGATGCTTAGTCAGACTTATAGCCTTCAACAGAATAACCGTAATTCTCTATGGATAAAGCGGAGGCGTCTTACTTTCGGGCAGGTGCACTTCGCTTGATGATTGATGACTTGGCACTCTGCGTTCTCTCCGCACTTGCATGGGTTCTCGCATCTGTACGATGACGAGCACGCGAGATGATGAGGACAGTCGATATCGCTCTCACACTCGTGACGACACCCAGTTAAGGGTGAGCCTCTATAACCCGGCAGACACGTGCAGACTGGTACTTCGTTGATCACTTCGCATTGGGTATTCACTCCGCATGGACTTGGTTTACAGGCGGCTTCTATATAGCAGGAAATATCTTTGACAATAACTTACAACATTCTCAATAGTAAAAAAAAACTCTCATAAATTATTATCTTTATTAAATCATTGTAAATTAATATCTATTACAGTAAAATTCCGTTTACTCGAACATGAGGGACAAAACAGTTACAATAACCAAATGGTTTGGAGGTTTATTAGCTTGTATCAGTATTATTAATATTTATCAATATTACAATATATTACATTCAGATATTATAAGAGAGTTAATGAGTTTGTATTATATATATTTGGAACTAGACACGAAGTTATTCATATGAATGGAATACAGATAAATGGAGTTTTACTATATATATTAGTAATATTAAATTTAGCTGTTTAATTATTATATTTATATTTAACTATAAATTCTTTAAATTCAAGAGTGAAAAAGATATAAACATGGAAACGAATATAAAAAAAAAACATAAAATACATAAAGTTCAAAATCGTCAGAAACATTATAAAAATCTTTAAATATTTTCGTGCAATGCTTTTTTTATACATATTCCTATTATTTAGATTACATGGCAAATTTCTACATACGAGGGTCTGCGACTTGACAACTCGAGAACGGATCTCCGACGTATCCTGGTATACACTCGCAGGTACCTATGTGATTTCTGGTCAAGCAGTTCGCGTTTATTCCACACAGACCTACACAAGGGTCGACGCACCTGTTGTTCGTACACACTCTGTTGTACGGACAATCGTCGTTGACTGAAACGTGACGAAAATGCTAAATAATGTGTCGATCGATACACCATTTGTATTACAACAGAAAACATGTAAAATATGAAAGTAATATTCATGGCAGATTAATATTTATGATATAGGAATATATGAAGTTTAAAAATATAACTTAAAATATTTTTATTAGAACGAAAAAATGATATTAACATTAACCAACAATAGTTTAATTGAAAAAAAAATAATCTTGAGATTATTATTTATTATTATTATTTTCTTAATGATACCTAATATTAATGAAACAAATAACAATTTATTAAAACAAGAGATGGCGTATTTATTTCATTACATTATTTTACATTTTAACTTTTTTATTTAATTCATATTTAATTAATTTCATTGTTTTACTTTTTATTCATCGTGTATTAAATTAACACAAATGTTTGAGTGGACCATTTGGTGAAATGTATTAAGTTTAACACAAATTTCTCTGTGTCAATAAATTAACAAGATTATTTTTCAATTAGACGGTTATAAAGCTATTAAAACTATTTAATACTTTTTTTCTGTCAGTATAGTTCATTTTCATATAATATTTTACTATGATTTATTTATCTTACCAATTTCAATTCAACATAAATTTTTTCCATTGTTACAATTTTTCAAATGGTCGGCAGTGTATAAACTTAAGTTTATACGCGGTATAATTGCGACTTAATTAACAAGAGTTTACTCTTCTAGGAGTTATATAATGCTTGCGGTTCACGTTGATCGCGTTTTTACTCACTTAGACATTCGACTCGCACGCACTGCGCGAGTGGGTCTCCCATATGAAGATTCAAACACGAGCACACCGGCCGCCCCAAGCTCATCGTGCATCTTGCGTTGACGCCGCACGTGTGGCTGTCGCAACCGCCTACGATCAGACGGAGAGTCGGGTGATTCAGCAGACACGCTTCGGTTTTGCGTAATAACTACTAATAAAGACTACTAATAACAAAGAATTAAGCAGAACTTACCGGACGTACTTATTCGCGACTGAACGTACTGAACATAGTGACTGCCGTTCACCAACGTGGTAAACAAGAAGAGGAGCAAGGCTGCGGCTTGCGTGTACTGCATTTTGCCACTTTCAAATGTATCTGCTAGAAAAGTAATGAAATTCAAATGATACAAGTGAAAAGAGAATGATTCTCGCGATGATTCTTCTCTGATCCTCTCAAATCAAGTTCTGCGCAAATTCTTCCAATTAAAACAACACTTTTCTTTTTGATGTAAATTATTATAGACAAAACAATTTGTTTTCTTGAAATTGGAGAGATGGATAAAAAATTATCCTAGTTATTTATTTATTATTTATAAATTTAATAAAGGCGTGATGACTGTCGAACATTTTTGCTGAAATCCTCTAGGCGGGAAGACGCTATTCTCTTGCGACGATTATTCTTTAATGCAAATCAAGTTCTGCGCAAATTCAACTTAGAACGAGATTTTCCTTTTCGATTTAAATCGTTAAACGAAATAATTCACTTTCTTGCAAATGTAAATAAATAAAAGGTAATGATATTGCCTAATGATATTGCCTTAACGCGGGAAGAGAACATTACTCTCATGATTTTCCAATTTAATACTTGGAATGTAGTAATTACTTGTTTACAATGTGTACAACAGTCCTTTTAATACTCAGGATAAGTAATTAATCACTATCTTGTAGAATTAAATATTTATAAGATCATATATCCTAATTACTTAAATTAGATAGAGGCTTCGTGAGATGACTGGCGTCACATTTTTGCTTCCTCAAGTTTGCTAATGTTTATTTCCACTAATGCAAATTAACTTTAACCTTAGTTTAATTATCTTCATCTTTTTCTAATTCTTAGAAATAAAAAAAGCAAAAACAGAATAGATAATGAATAAATAATGCATGAAGTTTTTACCCGAATAGCCACTTAAAAGTTTATCCCAGTTTATCCGAATAATGTCCACACTTCTGCTTGCAACTTGGTGCTCGATCGGCGCGAGGAAGACTAACCGATCACCCGCGATCGCGTAAATGACGCGAGGACGATCCCAGCCCCACTATCCGCGACCTTCAGAGTCCCCTCTTCGAATTTCGCCCACACGCGGCCCTGATTATTCTTCAAGGTATTCGATAAATTTCGCCTACGATTTTATATCGTCGTTTTTTTCGCACTTCCTTTTTTTTCGTAATTGATGAGCATTACGTGCGAAACACGACGATTTTCCCATGGCCTGAGTGCGGCAACGCGATTGGAGCACGCACGCAATTATCCGTCCATCCCGACCTAGAATTGCCCGACTATAATGATATTCTATATTCGCGTGCATAGTACAATACGTCGGTCAAAACAGGTATGAGTAATCACGGCTGCAGCTTCGGCGAGCGGAGTTCCGCGACGAGGGAACCCTTTCGCGCCAAAAATGGATCTTCGCGGATACGCATACGCTCGATCTCGCTGCTGCAGCGTAGTCGAAGTAAATCCGGTATCAGCTTGTCGTTCAACTGCGAATCACCGTATTCGTATCGCGTCATATACTCCCTCCCGTCGTGCTTCTTCATATCCGCGTTATATGCTAATCTAGAACAAAAATATAGACAAAGTAAAAAAAAAAAAGTATAAATGCAAATTGTGCCGCGTAAATAAAGTATGATAATCTCAATATTACACCGTCCGAATGGTCGCACATTCCCGTTTTATTATCGTTTCTGTGAATAGAACGCACTATCCGATGTCGCGATCTCGAGACGAGAAACATAATTATTCATATATATTTAAAGATTTTCATTGAAAACCATTTTTAATATTTAACATAAAATTCGTCGATTCGGTAAATGCGAATTTATTTCGGAAATTAGTCTCGCTTTTACTAGTCGTGTAATTGTTTTAAAATATACTTATCTTGGAAATATTCTGTGTTAATTAAGAAGATGGAATGAAACTGATAAGTTGGCGTTGTATGCTTTTCAAATTTATAATACGAGCAGTAATTATATAAAACTTGTGTCATATATTTAGGAAATTTTTCATACAAATACGCACATACGCTTATAACTTTAAATAAATGCAAAATACACATATTTGTCTTATGGAACACGTATCTATGTACAGAGTCGATCATGGGAAATAGAAGGTTTGAATGAAACTTCTTTAAATTTGTGAATAAACGTATGTAAATAAAAGTACAATTTAGCTTTTAATAACTTTTAATATTTTAGTTTTTATTAATGTGAAATCAATTAAATAAAAATTTACATTTTAGAATATCTGTCATATGTGTAAAAGGAAAAAATACATGTGCCTTGAAATACAAACTACGATTTTGATGAAGTAGTTTCTTCTGTAATGTTTTTTTTTTTTTTTTTTTTTTTTATTATGTAAAATTCGTCCTTAATATTTTTTTTGTGTCCAATGAAATGGATTTATTCAAGCATTCTGTTTCAAAGTAAACCACTCTGCACGCTACATATACATATCAATATTGCTATTTATGTACATTACGGATCTTTATGAATTTAAAATTATTTATGTGTTTGGTGCATTTCTTTTCCATCGACTCATATCTTGTCCTACCTTTCGTGATACAGATATCATATTAATGTCATGTAATTAAATCTCTATCTCTTTGAAAAGTATAAACCTTCAAATAAGATATTTGTATCTATAGTAAAAATGCTTGACTCAGAGTATAATTTTGCACTGAAAAAAATAATATTACCACATATTGAATAAAATAATTTCAATTTAATGTTTGATTAATATAACAAAAAATAATTTTACTTTTCAAACATACTGTTTGGTAATACTAAATACACAAAAAATACATGTATTACTAAATACATAGGAAAGCAAAATTTATATGTAATATTATATGTTATAAACATATATATTTATATAGTATATAGTTATACCAAAACATAATCTCCTTACGGACTCTCCTGATTTAAAAAATTTCAAGATCAAGGGCGAGTCAGAGTACAGCATTGTTGTTAGTACGTAATCAATCAAAACGTGGATTCTTATCAAATCCTTTATTCTTGATAATATAAATAATTCGTTTCGACTCCTTTTTAAGTCCTCTTTTTCAGCTAATACATATTAAAACTAAAAAATTCTTTACAAGTCTTGCAAATCAGGTCGCATCCAATTGACAGATTAGATGTTAATTTATCTTACAAACCTAACAAGAAATTCACACGAAGAAAAAATGGATCGTTCTTTTCATATCAAAAATGTTAAATTGTTACAACACTTAATATCTAATAATATTACTGTGACAATGTGATTTTAGACACATGTTTTTATCATGTCACAATTTAAACTCCATTTTTTCTTCATATGAATTTTTTATTGGTTTTGTAAGATAAATTAACATCTAATCTGTTAACTAAATGCGACTTGATTTGCAAGATTTGCAAGGAATTTTTTAGTTTTAATATTAGCTGAAAAGAGGACTCAAAAAGAAGTCGAAACGTACTATTTATATTGTCAAGAATAAAGGATTTGCTAAGACGTTTTGATTAATTGCGAACCAACAATAACGCTGTATTCTCACTCGCCCTTGACCTTGGAAATTTTTTTATATATAGTTATATATGTATATATTAATTACATTTTGTCATATTAACAAACATTTGATTGAACTTATTTCACTTAACATTTGATAGCTATTACCAAATTATTCTTTTTTTTAACATTTGTGCGAGATTTTGTCTTGAATTTTATTTGCACTTTGCTTCTCTTAAAAACTCTTCGTAGGCAGTCGCAATTTCATCGTCATAATTATCATCGGGTTCTTCTTCAGATGTCCTATAAATTATATGATAATATTAGTACATTAATTTTTTAAGTATTTTGGTTAAACAATATCCTTCAACTATCTCTCTCGTTTATCTCATTATAATAATTGAAAAAAATTTAAATATTTTTTTGCTCATTTGTTACAACAGATAACACATTTAAAAAACAAAGTTTTTCAGAAAATGAGTTAGAATGTTTAAAATCATTAAAATTTTGTAACATTAATTTTGAAATGTAATTTTGATGTAATAATTGTAGAAAAATAAAAGTATGTTCTCTTAAAGAATTTTTTTTCTTTATATAATTATAATAAATGTGAAATGTGTAATACGAAGTTACAACGTACCCTTGAATCTCTAAATCAGCTTTTTCAAGAAATTCGCTTTCCTCCGCGGACAGAATCGAACCATCAGGACCATACATCACAGGTTGATTAAATCGTGTTGTCTCCGGTACTTGATGCTGTATTTTTAACGATACAGTATGCGATTCAGATGAATAGTAATTAGACGCACCCAATTGGTCAGATTGTCGCTGCACATCATTAAATAACGCATGACTCGACCCAGACGAATTACAATTGAACGCGCTTGTACCCCAATCCTTTCGTAATTCGTGAACACTGTTTACCATGTTTCCTACATGCGTATCAACTTGTCCGTTATTCACGAGTTCCGTTAGTGCCCGCATCATATTTTCCATGTCCTTGCTCCTGCTTTTATCTTTCTCCAAGACGTGACCCGCCAACTATGCATTGCATCAAATGCACACATTAGAATGTAGATAAAAATTGAAAAATTATCGTCACTGTTAGTTGCGACTTACTTTGAGCGCTTGGCATATATATTTAACAGAGCTCGACGCTGGTCTTTGCAGTACCCTAGTAATGAACAAAACCAAAAGTTCTCCTAAATTGAAAGCATAAGATTCATCCATCTGAGCGACTAACTCTGCTAAAAATAAGATCAGTCCATTGCATTTCCGTTGGTCCCGTTGCTCCTCAGATTGCTTAAGCCATTCAGGTTCTAGTAATCCGATCTCCCATTTACACCTAACATAAAAATATCTTTAATGTATACAATATATAGATATAGATACAATATATATATATAATAATAATAGATACAATATATAGATATAGATGCAATATATAGTTATACAATATATAGATCGTACAATTCCAATCACGTGATATATACTTGAACTTACTGGAAGGACAACAATTCCCTGAACAGGTCTTTGGAAAACATATACTCTTTGGAATTTTCTAAACTGGTATCGAAATATTTACACAATCGGGCTCCATTATATCGAAAATTACTTTCCGCTATAGACTGAAAATGATAATAAAGTCAGTAAACATGCGAATTTTGTATTATTCTATAGTTCTTATCAGATAAATACTGAACACCGTTTGCGAAAACACGTCTTGCGCAAAATTAAATGACATCCGAATACGTTCGGAGAAAAAGAGGAATTTTTATACCCATTCGATTATGGTTGTCATAACCAACTGCAAGCAACGCATATTTCCACTCAACCTAAGCTTATCCATAAATGGTGGAACTAGATTGGTGAACTCAGCAGGATTCATAATTAAAATGTTGATAATTTTATTGAGATGTTCATAAGTTTCTAAGTTGTAAGCTTCTTCCTTTTCATTTTGTTGCTTTTCTTCTTTCTAATTCAAATATTATTGATACATATAAATGTTGAAGCAGGTATAAAGCAGGTTGTTATAATAAAAAAAAAATCAGGCTTTTACCTTGTTATTACTCACATCATCTTGATCGTATTCATAATTATTATAATTTCCTACATCCGTATCTTGTATATTGCATTGCTGCTCCAAAGCATCTTCTAGAGTACTCTCGTCTGCAAACGGAGGTATAGATACATTTAGCGGCATTCCACGAGCTATGCTGATCCTGTCTTGTACGGAAGTCTTTGCATATTGCTGGGCAGGTTGCTATCAGCAAATTATCCAAAATCAAAGTATCTGAATATTGATACACTTGAGGATCCAATAAAAATAGCAGAAGTAACTTACAGGAGGCAGATATATGTTAGGCTCTGCTGGAGGAGATTGCACTAAAGGAGTCTGTGATTTAAAAACCTGAGGCAGCCTGAATTTTGGAACAAACTCTGCTGCCTGTGGCGATAGTGCAAATTTCTTCTCTTCTTGATTATGTTGCACCATCACTGTAGATGACGAAGAGTCGGATTCTATATATAGATAAGTGATTTTATTTTAAATTTAATAGCTATCGAACGTCTAATTTTGTTGCACAACTAAAATAATACTAACTGATACTGGACTGACTAGAAGTTGATACATCGTGCGGTCGTCTGAGTCCCCCACTGTGGGGGGGATCTAACTGTGCGTCTAACTGTGACCAAACACGATGTCCACGTCCTACACCTGGTTTTACAATTTCCTCATTTTTGCTGATTTTCCTGTCTCTTCTAGAAGAGTCCATGCTATGTACAAAATAAATAACTGCTGATTAAGAACAAGATTAGATCTAATAGAACTAGTTTTAAAATTCGCACACAACAACACAACATCTTTCATATATATATATATATATATATATATGAAAG